TAATAGACGACGGTGAATTACCGTCGTAGTTTGACTTTCAAAAAGACGACTGTCGATTTAACGACGGTTTGAAAAAGAAAAAGACGACGGCATTTCCCCGTTGTCTATTTCAATTTTTGTAGTAGTGCGAGTTAGCATCCGGTGCTTTGACATCTTTAAATGTTCAAGCTCCATGGTCCGGCCGCTTTTGGGGCCGCACCCAGTGCTCCACAGACTCCTCAGGAAAGTTCAGTTGCGCCACGGGCGATTGTGGCTCTGGCAAGATCACATGCAACGGTGCTGGTGCAATTCCACCAGCATTACTGGTGGAATTGACCCTAGCAATCAATGGAGGACAAGATTTCTATGATGTAAGCCTTGTTGATGGCTTCAACTTGCCCATTATGCTAGCCCCCCAAGGGGGCTCTGGGGACTGCAACTCCACAAGTTGTGCAGGCAATGTCAATACTGTTTGTCCTCCTGAGTTGTCAGTGAAAGGATCAGATGGGAGTGTGATTGGTTGCAAAAGTGTATGCATGGCTTTAAATCAGCCCCAATATTGTTGCACTGGTGCTTATGGTTCCCCAGATACATGCCCTCCTACTAACTATTCAAAGATCTTCAAGAACCAGTGTCCTCTCAGGCTTATAGTTATGCTTATGATGACAAAACTAGCACTTTCACATGCTTTGGTGGCCCTAATTATGCAATTACTTTCTGCCCTTGATAAGGGCTTTTACATGTATTTAAGGATAGAATAATATTTTGTCATGACTCTTATATAAAATAATCGCATGATATATGTATGATTGATGTCTTAAAGCTATTAATTTTTAATCTTACTTATTGTCAATTTTAATTACATTCATTTTTTATAAACGGGAGAGGCAGGGGGATAAGAACGCTTCACAAAGCAATAAAAATAGCATTTAAATTAACTGAACACGGATCATTGAACCTCTTCTTCGGACACTAGAAAATCATCACTTGGTCCGTCAAAGTTTAACATATCTTCAACGTCACAGTTTTGTGTACGGAGTTAACGACAATGGTAAAGTGACATGAAGTAAACTAATGGGGTATTAGTTAGATTGGCCATGCATCATCGATCCAACTCACATTGCTACTGGCATCACTTAAGCAAATGGCCTCGCAAATCAAGGTTGAAATTATCGAGAGGCAAACCGTTAAACCCCCCTCCCCAACACCTCATCACCTTAGAAATTATAAGCTTTCTCATCACGATGAGATGGCTCCTGCAATCTACATCCCACTCCTTCTCTTCTATCCCAATGCTGCTGATGCTAATACTAACAATGTCATTGCCACCAACGAAAGATGTCAGCATCTAATGCAATCTTTAACTACAACTCTCACCCACTTCTACCCTTTAGCAGGAAGAATCAAAGGTCACGCCGTAATTGAATGTAACGATGATGGAGCTGAATTTGTGAAAGCCGGAGTCACGTGCTCCTTATCAGAGATTTTGGAACACCCAGATGCCGAGATGTTAAGACGATTCCTTGCTATTGATCAATCCGACTCCAGAGAATCAGCCACAAGCCCATTGCTTCTTGTTCAAATCAACTTGTTTGAGTGCGGTGGAATGGCAATTGGGTTTAGCATTTCGCATAAGTTTGCTGATACCTCAACACTGAGCTTATTCATCAATTGTTGGACTGCAACCTGCCATAATCAGTCAAATAAGTTAATGGTTCCAAAATTTGGTGCAGCGTCTCTGTTTTCACCACTAAATTTGTCTAACTTAGAGCCACCGGCATTCCCACCCGCGGAAGGCGCTAAAGAAAAATGCATGACAAGGAGGTTTGTGCTTGATGCCACAAAAATTGCTGCTCTCCAGTCAAAAGTAGCCAGCTCAGCTGTGCCAAAACCAACAAGAGTACAAGCAGTATCAGCACTCATTTGGAAATGCAAAATTCAAGCATCATCCATATCATCATCATCAAACATGTTGGGGACTAGTCTAATAAGGCCATCAGTCGTCTCTCAGCCTACGAACATGCGTAAAAACACAGTGCCGCCATTGGCAGAAAACAAGGTAGGGAATCTAGTGGATTTTTCAACAGCACACTACTCTCACTCTGGAGAGAGTACTAGTGGCATAGATTTGGAAGACTTGGTAGCAAAAATCGGGGAAGCGCTTGAAGAGATGAAAGAGCATTGTGCTATGAAAGTAGTATTCGATACTGGCGAAGCATGGAAAAAAAAGAAAGAGTACATAAACCTGGTAAAAAATGATGACATAGACAAGTATGTGTGCACAAGTTGGTGTCGATTTCCATTTTATGAAGCCAATTTCGGATGGGGAAAGCCATCATGGGTGAGTTTTGTTCCTGTTCCAGTTGACAATATAACTAATTTGATGGACAAAAGAGATGGCAATGGAATAGAAGCGTGGGTGAATCTGAGACAAAAAAAGATGGCCTTATTTGAAAGCAACGAGGAGCTGCTTGCATATGCTTCTCTCAATCCTAAGGTCACCTACTGAGTACTGATAACAGAGCTAGCCAGCCATTAGTGCTGTTCTCTGCCCTGGACTTCAATTTGTTTTATCAATAAAATTTTAGGCTAGCTTATTTTCTAGCTCAATAAAACAGTTGTACTGTTGGAAACTTCGAATAAAGTAAATGTCAGAGTTGACCAAGTTTGAATGATTAGTTATGTTTAGCATTAATGGAATGTATTGTGAAATCTATGACAATACCAGAAGTTCAAATTTCTACTCTACAATCTCATGTAGCCAGTTCAGGTCTTCCCAATTCCTACAAGCGTGGATGCTGAGCACTCATAATAAATTATTAGTAACTAATATGAATGGTAAACACTAATGCTACGGACACCAAATTTGAATCTAAAATAATGCGTCCACTGATTTCACACCACCACCATCGTATAAAACCACCCGAACACCGCCATGCTGCACCACCACAGCTGAAAATATTCCCGCTGAATGCTCCACGATTGAAAACGAGTCGTAGTTTCATGTGCTTTTGGTAGGATATTCATGCCTTTATTTTTTGACCTAAGAAACAACACCCTGGTTTTCTCTAAAACCCATACCACAATGACATGAATCATACCAAAGGACATGAAACTATGAATCGTTCAGAAGAAATAAAAATAAAGTAATGATATTAAAAATGTGAGATTGATGGTGATGTTCAAATCGTCAGGTTCCAATATGTCGATCTTGAACACCAAGAAGAACTTCTTGTTTTGATCGCTTCCAATTTACAATCAATAGTTTGAGAAGAATGAAGAATTGGAAATCTTAGAATTAGGGAGATTAAGTTGTTGGGGGGATGGACTATTATAAATGCTACTCTTACCACATTTGTATACCACATTTCCATACCACCTTATGTGGCAGATGAAGTAAACAACCACATCAATTAATTGAAAAGAAAATAAAAGTGTCAATAAATCATACAAGAAAAGAAAATATTAAATTAATTTTAATTGATGTAGCTGTCCACCTCATTTGCCACATAAGGTGGTATGAGAATATGGTATACAAATGTGGTAAGAGTAGCATTATTCGTAGTTTATATATTAGAATATTAAATTTCCAACATGGATTGCTACAACTACCTCCCACAGAAGTAGGTAGTTGTTCAATGTAAAATGATGGCCTCTTCAATGTGGTTGTAAGGCAGCCCATGCATGATATTGTTTTCCACCGTTACAGAATTTACGATCAAGTTATGGCCACATAATTCATCAAGGTTTAAATCTTTGAGAGGCAGACAGCACCGGGGCTTGTGCCTACATAGTATTAGTTATATTCAATTCACTGCAGAACCATCGATCCAACTCACATTCTACTTGCATCACTTGAGCAAAATGGCATCACAAATCAAGGTTGAAATTTTGGCGAGGCAAACAGTTAGACCCTCCTCCCCACCTCTTCATCACCTTAGAAACTATGAGCTCTCTCATTATGATCAGAGCGATCTTCAAATCTACGTCCCACTCCTTCTCGTCTATCCAAATGCTGATGCTACTACTAACAATGAAAGATTTCAGCATCTACTGCAATCCTTAAGTAAAACACTCACTCACTTCTACCCTTTAGCAGGAAGAATCAAAGGTGATGCTGTGATTGAATGTAACGATGATGGAGCTGAATTTGTGAGAGCCCGAGTCAAGTGCTCCTTATCGGAGATTTTGGAGCACCCACAGATGCCAAGGTTTTAAGACGATTCCTTGCTATTGAACCCGAGTCCAGAGAATCTGCCACAGGCACAATGCTTCGTGTTCAAATCAACTTGTTTGAGTGTGGTGGAATGGGAATTGGGTTTAGTATTTCTAGTAAGTTTGCTGATACCTCAACACTGAGCACATTCATCAATTGTTGGAGTGCAACAACCCATGATGAGTCAAATAAGTTAATGTTTCCCAAATTTGGTGTGGCGTCTCTGCTTTCACCACTAAATTTGTCAAATTCAGAGACATCACCATTCCAACCCGATGATGCCGTTAAAGAAAAATGCATGACAAGGAGGTTTGTGTTTGATGCCTCAGAGATTGCTGCTCTCCAGTCGAAAGTAGCCAGCTCAGTTGTGCCCAAACCAACAAGAGTAGAAGCAGTTGCAGCACTCATTTGGAGATGCCAAATTGAAGCATCATCCAGATCATCATCGAACATGTTGGGGACTAGTCTAATAAGGCCATCCGTTTTCTCTCACCCACGTAAAAACGCAGTGCCGCCCTTGCCAGAAAACTTGGTTGGGAATCTAGTGGATTTTTCAATAGCACACTACTCTCACTCTGGAGAGAGTACTAGTGTGATAGATTTGAAAGACTTGGTTGCAAAAATCAAGGGAGCGCTCGAAGAAATAAAAGTGCGTTGTGATACAAAAGTAGTATTCGATTCTAACAAACAATGGCAAAAAATGAACGAGTACATGAACATGGTGAAAAATGATGACATAGTCAAGTTGGTGTCGATTTCCATTTTATGAAGCCGATTCGGATGGGGAAAGCCATCATGGGTGAGCTTCGTTCCTGTTGAAGCTAACAATGTAACTGTTTTGATGGACAAAAGAGATGGCAATGGAATAGAAGCATGGGTGAATCTGAGCCAAGAAAACACGGCCTTATTTGAAAGCAACGAGGAGCTGCTTGCATATGCTTCTCTCAATCCAAGGGTCACCTACTGAGTACTGCTAAGCTAGTCATTAGTGCTGTTCTCTGTCATGGCATTCAATTTGTGTTATCGATAAAATGGTCGGCTAGCTTTTTATATAGCTAGCTTAATTTTCTAGCTCAATTGTACCGTTGAAAACTTGGAATAAAGTAAATGTCAGAGTTGACCAAGTTTGAAAGATTAATTTATTATGTATTAGCATTAATGGAATCAATTGTGAGATATTCTATGATTGTACCAAGGAATTATTAAACAGTAGCTCAAATTTCTACTCTACAATCTAACGGAGCCAGTTCACTTGTTCCCAATCCTTACAGAGTGGATGCGATTTCAGCACTCAAATGTATTAGTAACATTATGAATGCTAAAAGTAACATTATGAATGGTAAAACAGTAATGCTAAATTTGTGTTGGCGTAAGTCAAAGTCAACGTTCCTATTAGGAATAGAATTTGTTCCTATTAGGAATACAATTTTTATTTATTTAATGTAATTATCTAATTTGAGCAGAATTAAGAGATTTTGTATAGATTTCTCATTTATACCCACTCTGTATGTAGTATATATATCCCTCTTTGAGAGAAAAATAAACATATATGTTTAAATCCTAATTACTTTTGAGTTGGTATCAGAG